CAGTTTTGTACTTTCAGTACAGACTTCTATATAGGATACCTTATTTGAATAAAGATCTTGTGATATATTTTTTTAACCCTTTGTGGAAGAGAGGAAGAAGATATGATGCACTTTTTTAAACTCTTGTTACGTGACCAAATTGACTTGGAGTCGTTTCACTGACTGGTTAAACATATTAACACGCTGTAGCATAAAACTGTCTTTAATACATGTTTGATTAGTTTCATTGACAAACAAAAAGATGCTTTAAACTGTATAATAATTTAGACTAAACAACAATTATATTTTTCTCGAATACAAAAATCTATACCGTCCTCCAGACAATAAAACAATATATCGGGAATATTTACATAAATGAGAGGCAGGTAAGTATTCTTGCTAACAAAACTGACAAATTTGAGAACATATGGATACATTTTGAGAGGATTTTGATCGTTTAGTATTATTTTATTGAATTTTTCTAAATCATTTTTAGTCATGATGTTGCATTGTTTTTTTAATATATTTTAAATCTATGTTCTGTATATGTAGTTTGGGGCAACGAGGGGTCTTAGCAATAGATTGAATCATTGGTAATTGTGCTGGCGAGCGACAAGAAGTCTGTGGCAATGTTACTCACTTGTGCAAAAGGTTAAAATATCTGTTATTGCTGTAAAAAATGTGAATGAAGTGAAAACTATTTCGTTTATAGCTGGGTTAAACATTATTCCCATGTCTAGGTTCGGGCTGATTGAGACGTGGTTATAGATCTTAGGTGTTCTACGACACGGCTGGGTTATAAGTTGCATCTTCAGGATGGTGAAGTCACAGGACTGGCCCAGACGAAAACAGATCTCATCGATTATTATTTTTTTTCAATAGTTTTTTAAAATTGATTCCTAACAATACAAACCAGTCTTAAAAATAAGTTGTTTTTCATCTTTACATGAGTTCAAAGCATTTTCATTACATAGATTGTACGATTGATGAAAACAAAAAATAAATCAGTTGTAACATAAAACAAATAACCCTATCCAACCAAACACACTACTACCCCCCCCCCACCACGTGACACACACACACACACACGCACACACGCACACGCATACACACACACACACATATATATACACCCACAACAAAAAGTGAGTCATTTGACACATTTAAGCATAATTTTCGTGAGTCAGGTGTAAATTGACTCATTAGTAACAACCAATGAGTCTCTATTGTCTCATTTATATTTCACCAGTGTGTCAATCATGAGCTGACGCATTTGCAAAATGCTTCGACTGACTCACATGGTCGTAAAAAATGAGTCAAGATCGACATAAGAGCATTTTAGAAGAAAAAAGTGAGTCAACTTGAAAGTGAGGCTGTATGCATGCGCGCGCATGCTTTCGTGACGTCATCCAAAATGCGCATTCTCGAGCCATATTTGAATTCCCGATCGACGACGCGACGTCGCCATCTTATATCTTGGATTCAGAAGAGTTTTGACTGCAGCTAGTGAAAAATTGGTACGCATAATTATTCATATGGTTTTAAACGATGATTTTTATGACTGGATTCGCGGGCTGAATCTTCTGATTATTATACAAATGATGCATGCGTTCATTTTACGATATCCGCACTCGAGTTGATGAGGCTGTGTGTAACTTAACTATCACTATGAACATGACTGACAATGAGAGCGGACAAAATATACAGTTCCTCAGGTAGACAAAGGAACATCCCTTACTGCTGTAAAAATGTGTAGAACAGGTGTCACATGCATATTCACCTTTTTACATAATAGCTGTGAAGGGATGTTCCTTTGTCTACCTGAGGAACTGTATATTTTGTCCGCTCTCATTGTCAGTTATGTTCATAGTGTATAGATTCTACTGTGTCGCACGAAGCCGTGTCGAATGAAAACATGCATGATCTTGCATCATTGTTTTATACAACGAAACTCCTAGATCCTTGTTATTTGATGTAAAACGAATTAATTCAAGATTGTTTCGTGACAGTATGGGTGACAAATAAATCTCAAGTTAAGGCTTAATTTAGTGCGTACAAAGTAGATTTTTCAGATTCGGGTAGCGGGACCACCGATTACATCGCTAAAATGTGATATTTTAGGATATATTTTCCATTGCAAATGTGGACAGTGACTCTGGCATGGTAAGGTATGTGTGTGATAGGCCTAGGGAGTAGGGGGTTCTATGTCATGATGCACCCACAACAAAAATTGAGTCACCCTTACTCAAATTGATGAGTCACTGGTTTGTCCGTACAGCGAAACACTTGAAGGATCATGTGAGTCACTATGACTCGATACAAATGAGTCTCTTAGATAAATAAGACTCATTTGTATCGAGTCATAGTGACTCACATGATCCTTCAAGTGTTTCGCTGTACGGACAAACCAGTGACTCATCAATTTGAGTAAGGGTGACTCACTTTTTGTTGCGGGTGTATGTGACCGTAGCATTAATTATCTAAATGGTCACCGTATTTTTTTGAAAGTAGAGCTGAATTGGTATGATCGTATAGGCTAATTTCACACATTTTGGGGTCTAAAATTACCTTCATAGCAATTTTAGGTTCTAAAAGGGCACTAGCCTAGAATAAGAGCAATAACATGCACTTTGAAGACATTTGCGGTCTGAAAACAGAACTCAAGTACTCAACTATCCCTTTAAATATGAGGGCAATAGGCGCCGGAAGTGGGGGGGGGGGGGGCAAAACGCATTTTTGCCCCCCCCCCCCCCAAAAAAAAAAAAAAAAAAAAAAACGCCCCCCCCCCCCTAAAAAAAAAAAAAAAAAAACAGTAAAGGAGTAAATATGGTTTGTATTTTTAACCCAAAAGAACATAACAATAATAAAAACCTGAATTAAATGACGTATACAATTTCATTCAAAGAAAAGGAAAGTTAACAGGAATTAAATTTCCTAAACATTGCGCATACTTCCTATATTTATCAATGGGGGTTATTATCATAATAGCGCGCGCATATCGTGGACATATTGTGAGAGAACGGGAAAGCGTGTCTGTTTTTTGTTTTAGGGGTGCAGAGGCGGCCTTCCCGGGGGGGGGGGCAGGGGGGCACAGTTACCCCCACTTTTTCAGATACCCCAAAAGTGCCCCTTTTTACATAGGAAAAGTGCCCCTTTTATTTTGTAAGAAGTGCCCCTTTTACATAGGAAAGGTGCCCCTTTTACTTTGACAAGTGCCCCTATTACTTAGTAAAAGTGCCCCTTCCCCCTTTTCACCTCTGACGAGTGCCCTTTTTATTTTTGACACGCACCCCTTTTCCTTCGACATGTTCCCATTTTCCTTTGCAATAAATGTCCATTTTCCATTCTCATAAATCTTGAATTTATCTTGAATAAGTTTTTAATCTCTAGTAAGTGCCTCTTTTCAGGTACGAGAAGTGCCCCTTTTAACTTTTAATAAGTGCCCCCTTCACCTCTGATAATTGCCCTATTCAAAACTGAGAGGTGCTCCTTTTACTTTGACAACTTCTCCTTTTTTCCTTTGTTAGAAGTGCCACTTCTCCTTTTAATAACTACCCCTTTTTAAAACTCGGATGTTCACACCTTTCATTTTAACATGTGCCCCTCTTATTTCTAATAAGTGCCCTTTTTCCTTATGATAAGTACCCCCATAAAAAAGAGAGAGCTCCCTCCCCTTCTCATAACTACCCCTTTCCCTTTCTAATAAGTGCCCCTTTTCCTTATGATAAGTGCTCCCATTTAAAAGAAAGAGCTCCTTCCCCTTCTCATAACTGCCCCTTTTAAAAATCTGAACGGTGCCCCCTTTTCATTCAACAAATGCACACTTTCCTTTATTATAAGTGCCCCTTTTCAACTCTGATAATTCCCCTTTTAATAATGATACGTGCCCCTTTTACTTTCTAATAAGGGACCTATCCCCTTTTCACCTCTTATAAATGCCCCTATCAAAATCTGATGGGTGCCCCTTTTCCGTCAACAAATGCCTATTTCCCATTTTCGTAAACGCCTCTTTTTCATCACTGGTGAGTGCCTCTTTTCAGGTGAAAAAAATTGCCTCATTTTCACCTCTTATAATTATCCTTTGTACTTTGACACGTGCTCCTTTTCTTTTCTAATAAGTGTCTTATCCCTTTCGATAATTGTCCCCTTTTCATGTAATCATTAAACGTGCCCCTTATTTAAAGCGACTAAGAGCAATTTCCCCAAAGTTCGCTCGCTGCACTCGCTTGCATTTAAAGATGATATAATTATGTTAATTATCAAAGGTCTTTTCAGTCTTCTGTTATGAGAATGTGCTTATAACCCCATCACGATTGGCTTTTTTCCTCTTTATAAGATGTAATTTTTCGCACTGCGACCTCACAGATCTTTAAAAATTTTCTCGCTCGCTTCGCTCGCTCGTAAATGCATATTCAGACATCACACCCAACTGTAAAGTATGATGCTTAAGCGATATATATGTATGAAGAGAAACAAATATTGAAATCATCCCTGATAATGTAATCACAATGTAGGGGTATATACCAATGTCTAACAAATTGTATATTTTCGCTTCGAGATTTCCCACTGTAGGTGCCCCTTTTTTTCCAGAAAGTGCCCTTTTTTGTTGGTGCCCCCCCACTTTGGAATTCGCTCGGCCGCCCCTGTAGGGGTGAGAAGCTCATGAGCCCCTGAACGCTGGCGTACTGACGGGGGGGGGGGTTAATTTTTATTCGATACCAGTGATTTACAAATGTTGCTGAAATGACATGATTTTCCGGTATTTTTTCTCAATTTTTTTGTAAGAAGTCATAACTTTTTATGCGTTTGTTGGAAATTAGAAATTCCCAAATTTACAGTCGGGCGAAAAATATGCTTATTAATAAGACTGTATGTCAGGGTCTGCAGAACGGCCGGGCTCGGGGGCTCGAGCCCCCCTCACTTTTTGAAAAAGTTTTTTAAAGAGAAAAAGAAAGAAAGAGAGAGAGAAAAAATAAGTGACCTGCCAATGTCACAAAATATGCTCATCTTACCGTAATTACATGCCTAAAATCCCAGAGCTTATGGGGGCTCCGCCCCTGAACCCCACCAAGGACCCTTTGGGCGGTCCCCTTATGCTCATCTGACCGTTATTAAATACCTAAAACCCCCGGGTTTCCGGGGGCTCTGCCCTCCGGACCCCGCCAAGGGCCCTAAGGCGGTCCCCAGTATGCTCATCTGACCATAATTAAATACCTAAAACACCCGAGCTTCCGGGGGCTCTGCCCCCTGGACCCCACCAAGGGCCCTAAGGCGGGACCCTGGATGCTCATCTGACCGTTATTAAATACCTTAAAAAAAAAGAGCTCACGGGGGCTCTGTTTCCTGGAATCTCCGCCAATCGGTGGTGAATGTGATGCAGATTTTTCTTCTGCCCCCCTTCCAAACGTATTTGCTCGTTACGTCACTGCCCCTGGAAGGTGAGCCCCCTAGAATGTTTGCCCCCCCCCCCGGCGCGCCTGATGAGGGCCTTATGTAACATGTTTGTATAGTCCTATATACATCTTTCTGTGTACAGTGCTTGTTACTTTGACAAAGATGGCCATATTTCTTATCATTTTGATGATTCCAGAACCTTGCAATACACACCGATAATTATGTGCTACAAGATCAACTTTTTCTGATCCATTTCACACCGTTATCTTCACAAGACAATCGCATGACCAGAAGTCAACATTATCTTTAAGCTAGAGTTTAGTAACAAACAAATCTTAAGTTTTACACAAAATTAATGATATAGTACATATCGCAAAACTGTGCAAAAGTAGGAAAAAGTTAACACACATGTTTATCAAAGCGATTTAAATCTCGCCAACCCTGATTCATTCTTTTATTTGATTATTCATATGGTTTCCTTATTCCATAGCTTACGAGGAATGTGGAAAGTCAAAACATCCGTCGGGGACGTCTCGCAATGTTAGTAGTGAACCAGAAGCCGGTTCGGGGGATTGGCCGTGGCAGGCAGCCCTTTACGATGCACACACAAATGAAGTAAGAATGATAAAAGACTATTTTCCAAGCATATTTAACGACAGCACTAATTCAACAAGTCAACGCTCCAAATAACAAGTCCAAATATGTCAAAACATATTTTCGCATATATAATTTGTGTTTTCGCATATTTAATAAGCTATACTCTGAAATCGAACAGAGGCTCTGTTTTGATACCATATACCTTTACATCGACTTTCATTAAAATCTGTCAAACATTACTTACGTTACTTATCGAACGGAAACGAGATTTGTTGCGGACGGACGGACGGCAGCGTTTTATTTCCCCGCCGACTTCGTCGGCGAGGGGATACTTAAATGTGTTGGGTCCAACGGTGACTGGCTACTTATTTTGGACTTGTACCACTATGTGATAATAACATTGTTCAAAATTTGGACGATTAATTACATGAGTTTTTCTTTCCCATTTCCTTATTCAAGGAAAAGACGCAGGCAGATAAGAATATTAATGAATGGCAAGTTAGCACCGGCGCACAGTGGATTTTGTGTTTGTTTACGAGATTCCTAATCATATTTCGGTATTTATCCCCGGGCCCACCGCACAGTGGGCCAGGGAGGAACCAAAGTGCGCCAAAACTAATTTTGGGTGATTTATTTTTGTTATTTCCAGAGGAAATGTTTATATTCCCTGAGATTTCCACTTTAATTTTATTACCAACATTTTCTCTGATGGCTAAGATTTAAGTTGCCCGTTGTTATGTTAGAGTCAATTTTCCTTGCAACATTGTCCCGAAAAGTGTGTTCCGCGGTGTCAGAACAAGTGTCACGCGCCCCACACGCCGTAATTTATGACCGCGAATCCTTCATAATTCAGCCGCGGACCAAAATAAACACATTTTCGGCGCTTTTTCTGGACGCGGGTGCATAGCCAGTTATGTCGGGAGTGACCCCCATCCCCGGAGGCGTCATTCTTTTCACTGCGGCACAGATTGTTTTTTTTTTTTTAAGTGGTCTTGATTTAACCCTAACCCTAAACTTTCCCATAGGCTCAACACGCACCTGACCCCATCTGTGCCGCAGAAAAAAATAACGCCCCTGGGTGCTCCGAGCAATAAGCGAGTTCGTAATAGCCACTGGAGTCGTATGACGTAAACGTGTCATAGGTCACATAAACTTATCTCCAAAGCTTACTCGCACGCTCTGCGTAATCTTCATTAGGACTACGTGAAAATTTGTGCGTGCTCGTCCTTTAAAATGTATATTTTACTGACTGATCGCCGTGATTTCTATCTTTTTATTCATCGAAAATTCCTACAAGAGTTGTTGAAATGGATTAGGAGGCTCCTTCGATTTGCAATTGCAAGAATACCTATCACTTGAGAGTCAGAGGAAAGAAGCAAATGACATTTTATATGGCTGAAATAGCCTAAATACAGATTTTGTTCTTCTTCTACCGGTTCATACTTTTTTATTTTGCATACGTTATAACATATTTATCATTCCTCCTCCTCCTATGTTCTTCTTCTCCTTCACTTCTTCTTTTTCTTCTTGTACTTATTATCATTGCTATCATCAGTTAAATGTTGTTATTATTATTATCATCATTATTATCTATTTTCTCTTCTGTCTTTGAATATTACTACATTAACGTAATCATTTTGTACATGTATGTCGGGTACCCCACTGGAAATAGGCTCTCGAGCTTTCGTCGGCTATCCTGTTCAAGCTGACTTAATTTTAATCTGTTATTCTTGTATGTTGGAAGCTTGGCGAAAAAAAAATCAATCAATCAGGAGCATATTCCTCGGGGTGTAAGTCCCTTCCTATGGATCTTAACACGCAACGGGGACTCGCACCACAAGGAATTATAGACAGTTTTATGGTGTTTTTAGTCAGATTCTCTTGGTGTTAGTGATAAACTATATACAGCAAATATTCATTTAACACCTCTCGGTAACTTAAAAATGATCAAATATAATGACCTCAAAACACTATACACTTATCTATATATTCCTTGTGGTCCGAGTCCCCCTTACGTGTTAAAATTATCACATTTCTCATAGAGGGGGACTCGGATCACGAGGAGTATATTTCTCGTGGCGTAAGTCCCCTCCTATGGAAAATTTGATGATCTTAACGGGCAAGGGGGACTCGCACCACGAGAAATATATAGACAGTTTTATAGTGTATTTTAATCAGATTCTTTTGATTTGATTTTTAGAAATAAACTATAACAGCAAATATTAATTTAACGTCTCTAGGTAACTGTCTGCACGTGGCAGAGTGGTCTTGAAGAGGAGGGAAATGAAGATGAACATCAACGGGTTAATTGCCGTCTCGTATACATCTTGGAGGGGGGGGGGGGGGGACTAGGATCACGAGGAGTCCCTCCTATGTGAAATTTGATTATCTTAACACGCAAGGGGGACTCCCACCACGAGGAATATATAAAAAGTTTTACAGCGTTTTCTTAATAGGCCTACTAGATAAATTGGCTTGACTAAATAAAGCAATAATATAATTTAAAACAAAATGTAATGAAAGTAATATTTTGTCTTCAATAACCGTTAAAGGTAAAGACCGGTAGTGGTAGGATTGCGGTTCGAGGGTTTTGGGTGGAAAAAATCCATTAAATATTGTTTAAACATTGCCTTCAGAGGTTTAGATGGCAATACTTTAACCTAAGTTCGCAAACAACAGAAATTTAGGCCTATGCCCAAATATTCAATGTTGAGGTGCGTTCGCGATATCTATCGAGGCCGGATCGATATGATAATTTACCAAATATATCGATTTGTAGGCGATTTCCCGGCAAAATTTGTATCATCACGTATTAGTCAAAACATATTTTTTTCACATGATTGGTAATAAGAGCTTCCATTTCATTTTGTAAGAGGGGGGGGGGCGTTTCCAAAACTGGTCTATACCTTTAAAAGCATGATGAAATTAATCAATTTATTCAGCCTAATCAATGCTTGATTAAATAAATGCGAATTATAGTTTGCTTTATTTAGTAAAGGACTTTAATAGGCCTACTAGATAGATTGGATTGACTATAAAAAAAGAGTAATAATCCATTAGACGCGCGCTTATGTTGATATTATTATGGAAGTTAGGAAAAAAAATTCAGAGTAAAAAGTACCTTGGATCCGAGTCCCTGGTCGCTTGGATCACGAAAATGCCGATATGTCTTTATCGATGATCAGATTCCAAGTAAAGTTTACTATAAAGAACCGATTCTCACGTTCAGAAATGATTTTCGGTGACTGATGGGATCATTCACAACGGAAAGGCCAGCACACAAACACTTCCTCTCTCAGCTCTCTTTTTGTTCATGTGACCTTTGGAAAAGTTCGTTCCCGATTTTTGCGCATGCGCAGTATGCAATTACGAACTCGCTCATTGTCGTTGGGGGAATAATGTCAAAGCAAGTGCCTTTTTAATATCATGGACCTACTATACAAAACTTACTCCGTATGTGAATTGTTTTAAGGAGTCAGGACGGAAAGAGGGGGGGGGGGGCTGGGCTGGAGACTATACGAATTGTGCGCAGACCCCCCCTCCCCCCTCCATCATGCATGTCAAAACTGATCGTTGATTGTACTATACCGAGCGGTAATATAGATGGCATTGTGAAATAATCATGACTTCTTCTTTTTTTCATTGCAATTCTTTATCAAAACTGTCACAAAGATTGTGTGCGGAGGCTCTCTCATTCACAAGAACTGGATTTTGACCGCAGCACGATGTTTCATTGGAGAAAATACGCTGAGCCAGAATGGAACAACTGTTTATCTTGGTAGGTCGATTGTATTGTAATGTACTGTATTGTATTTGTTCAACAGCAACGATACACATCAAGAATTTTGTTCATTAATATATACCGTGTGAGTAAGAAAAAAAAGAAAAAGAGGTTACACTAAGAAAACTGTTATTTATGTTAACAGTCAGCTATGAACGAAAGGTTGTCATACATGTTTTAAAAGAGTGTCATATCTTGGATCATTTGGTATCAACTGGTATTAAGAAATGTTGCAATACGAAATCATTTTATATGATATATTTATGATCAAAAGACACTGTAAGTTATCTTTCTAAATAAATGCACAAACAAAGCTAGAAAGTCAAGATATTTGGTTTTATTTACATGAAATCATGAATACATAATGTAGATTTTATTTAAACAAGAGATGTACTTTACATATCTCCCATAACTATGTACATATCAACAAATAAATTATGCCCTGAAGATAAAGAAATTACAAAATGTATTCGAAGTCACAATTCTAAAGGGAGCTAAAATGATGGCAATTGTAAATTATTGCATATAATTAATTTAGAAAGCTTTTACAGATACAAAGTTGTGATTAGTCAATTCTCGTCACGTGAGCTTCCTGACTCTTTTGGATTTTCATCTCATTTGGTTCAACTTCAACTTCCCTTCGACCCTTGACCGCCCCCCCTCTCTCTCTCTCTCTCTCTCTATCTATCTCTCTCCCTCCCTGTATTTAATTTTCATCTATCAATGAAGTCTCCTCTTTTACTTGTAAATTCCCAGAAATACAAAACATTGCCTGAAAAAAAAATGTCGCTTTAAGACATAACAGTTTCTTAAATACATATTTTGTTTTTATTAAAAATATGCTGTCTTCATCCGACCTACTTACGACGTTAATTCTCTGTACAAAAGGAATTGCCCGTCTTTTGATTTATATTTTGAGGACTGACACATAGATTGAGGGATATGCATTTTAGGGCCCAGGAGTTCAATGTGATCGAAGTGATTACGCACCCGAAATACATCAAGAAACTCGATGGAGGGGAACACAATGATATCGCCCTCTTGCGTTTGGATCGTGAGGCAAGGCTGAATCCCTTCGTACGTACTGTCTGTCTTCCACCAAGTCACCAATCCAGAGGTATATGAAAACGATTTTGACGTATGAAATATGACAGAGTGTTGAAATTGATTTTTTTTAAATATTAGCTAAACAGCTTCCTAATGTAAAATTAGACTCCCATTAAATGTCTTTTACACTTTTTATCACCGTTCCAAACGTATTTCTGATATGTTTAAGTTTCCCTCACAACCAGTGATTTTCCACAATATCATGATCAGGTATTTAGGACATTTATTTCTTTTCAATTGTGTTCACAACCAGGCTAATATCAATGGTTTATCAACTTGATTAGAACTTGCGTTTAACTTTTAGAGTTGGAATCATAAAGACTGCTAACTAAATTGTATTTTTGCTCTTGCATGCTAGACTGCCAATGACGTACAGAATCCCTTTAATATAATATAAGCCGCGACAATTTCCCAAGCCTTCCTCAAAGTCAATGGAGCTCGAACTCTGCAATATTTTCTTTTCCTTCAATTTCCACCTCCTTAACAAATAATAATAATAACATTCAGCTTTTATATAGCTGAATATTATTATAAATCTTCTCTTTTATTGATGACGATGGGATGATGGGATGATCCTGAAAAAGAGGAAATATAAAGGAGACATATGAAATCAGTATTGTTTATTTCTTGCACTGTATTATATGCACAATATAACTATATATCATATTTTTCCCTCCACAGGGATTTTTTTGATTTTCATTTGAAACACATACAAAAATATATATTCAAGGTAATTTACATAATAACATAAATAAAATAAAATTTGCCTTTCAAGATACAAGTATTGTTGAGCTATAACTATATAATGGTAGTCTGTATCTTCTTATGTAAGGTGGGATTACGTTTACATTATAATGCTGAAATGAATTGTTAATAATATATGCAGCATTTGAAATTCATCTCTCTTCTTGGTCACACTCCCCTACCCTCGCCCCCTCTTTCTCTTAATCTCTCCATGGAAGAACAGAGCCGTTGGGTTAATGGCTCTGAAATGGACTATCCAACCGTTTTATCGTTCTATTATTGGTATATAACTCTTTGATCTTTATATTGTGTTATTATTTTTTATGATAATTTTCGAAAATAATATAAACGATCTCCCACCTTCCCCCCCCCCTCTCTCTCTCTCTTTCTCTCTCTCTCTCTCTCTCTCTCTCACCTTCTCTCTCTCCCACCCTCGCTAACTGTCTGTCTCTCCATCTCTATCTATCTATCTTTAGCTAGGTTCACACAACTCCGTAAAATAAGTCTAGCTTGCGGTTTCAAAGGCCCACTGCACTACTTGTAGCTACTTGCGCCCTCTATATAACAAACAATGCCTAATCGGTGACCATTGGTCCCCCATGATCCTCTTTTTCTTATGTTAACTGAGAGCTGAGTTGATGAGATAACCACCTGTCCAGTGACCTTGCAGGGCGGTCTAATCCCTCCTGTAAACTACGGCAGATAAGCTTTAAACTTCGAGATTATCTTGTTAAGGGCCCTTCGGATCGATGCACTCCTGGTTTCGTAAACTATAGGTTTACTCGAAGTTTAAAGGACGAACGATATTATGGTTTTACATGAGATCTATGAGCAGTACGCAATTAACGTCGATGATTCGCCAAACTTATACAAGAGTTCATGTTGGTTCCTCGCTTTCTCTGTGCATGATTATTATTTGTAGGTCTATTACTATTACTATTTTTGTCTTCTTGTGTTCTTCACCCCCCTTCTGCCTTTATGTACTCAAATATTTTCATATCTAGCTAATTGGTACGTGAATCCTCGGAGGATGGCTTTCGTCACAGGGTGGGGTCGTACCAGCTTCAACGGACAGAACTCGTTTGCTCTTATGGAAATCATGATACCACCGGTTCTAGATAGTTCATGTCGCAGAGTGATGAACAAGAAAGGGATAGCTATGGAAACGACTACTGAATTTTGTGCGGGATCAGAGAACGGGATGCATGATGCATGCCAAGGCGATTCAGGTGACCCCTTGGTCGTGCAACGGCTAGAAAAATACAGGCAGATCGGGATCGTGAGCTATGGCGCCAGATGTGGTGAAACCTATGGTGTCTACACCAGAGTCTCACACTATGTTGACTGGATTGAGGGAATCATTAATGAGTAGAAAATACATACATTTATCATGATTTAACCACAACAAAATATATCATTTTCTTGTAAAATGCAGAGACAAAACCAAATGATTACACGCAATATCAAAGACTTTCTTTATATAAAAAATATTTTATTGAATGAAACAAAGGGCAAGCCTTAAAATATCATCTTCTGATTACATTCATACATGTATAAATGAACAATTTGATTATTGTTGACATGTTTGCAAGATAGCGAATATGTAAAAAGAAACAAACGCATTAAAAAAAAACTAAGACTTTTTTTTAGAAATTAATGGTAGAAATTCTTACGTACCTGTAATACACATGCTGTGTAATGCATTATTTTGAACATTCTGATATTCTATGTCACTTTTTAAAATGAGCTTGATGAATTTTGTTCCGTTTAGATATATACTCTTTTACCGCATAATAATATCTTAAAAGCCGAGAGAAAATGTAATGTCAGGTGTGACAGACATAATTTTGCACTAAAACATAAATTGTTTATCCAACAAAATTATGAAATTACAGATGTTAGTATCCAAGGTATTGTTTGGATTATACCAAATATAAAGTTGATAATAGAAAACATTTTTGTAAAACTTCTATCCAAAACGTAGAAGCATAGGGGCACAACAAGAATAAATAAGTGTTTTATCCACTGTTTTACCAAATGTTCAATCTTTCGTTTCCCTTTTTCCAATGCATTTTAAACAATTATTTGACAATCTTATAATGCCACTCTCAACCTTCAGTCGATTGTAACATTCCATGGTATCATTAATATTTGATCAACTTCATTATTATAATCAAGACCATAATCAATTTCAAACTGACAAAATACCTTTGATATGCAGTAATAATAGAGTGAAATGCATAAAAATCTTTGTGGGGATTCTTTGCCAGTAATTGTGCAATAGGCGTTAATGAATCATTTAATTTTGTAATCAATTTTCAATTATTTCATATTTAATTGTGAATTAAAATTAATATTAATAGCATTGAATTTTAAATAACGATGAATACTTGAATATGAATGAATTCACACCGATCAATGAGTATTTTAGCCATTATAATATATGTTCGTTGTTTTTTTATTTTTTATTATCAACAAATTTTAATATTCTTCGCGAATTTGCAATGTTATTAACTTTATTTCTTATTCCATTATGCAATTCAATTCCAATATTTCCAATATTTTCTACCAATGACACAAAATCAACCCTTCGGCATGCCACATTCGTTATAGTAATGGTTTTAATGTTAATTTCATATTCGTTTTAGAATGTTTTAGTTAAGATTAGCATTGCTTATTGATCGAACTTAATGATAATTGCCATTAATATTGTCATTTGATCACTTTTATTTGAATTTCAATGTTGATTGCCTAGACTGTTTTAATAATTATTGTATAATTGCTGTTATCATGTTTATACATTGTAAACTGTTGTAACCATAGCAATTCAGTCCTTGGACTGCGAAAATGGATAATTATCAATAAAATCCTTCAATCAAATCAATCAAGGAATTATTTAGGTCTTTGACGATTTCTGTCAACTGGCAACTGCTTATCCACAGCAAGTGATTTTTACTTGTAAAGTACACGGATAGTCTAGAATACTGCCCCTTTTTCCACATTCCTATATTACCCTCCGAAAGAAAAAATAATCTGTACAAGACAAACCAATTCTATCTTTAGCGATTTAAAAAAAAAGCAAGTCCATTTTCATATAATTTTGTCACTAATTTTGCGTATTCCTCTTGCAAACAAAGTATGGTTTAAAAATGATTTAGTATTACAAAAATATTTCATCGTTAATTCACAATGATCAGATCGCTTAGATTATGCCCTTCAGAGTGTTTTGTGTTTAAAGGATGCCAGGTAGTAAAATAATCAATGTATCATTGAGACAATGTTCGCTGGAGAGCGTCAACATCAATTATCTACAGACGGACATTTTTTTTTATCAAAAGGACATAATATATACGTTACAATATTTTTCTCGTCTTTGGTTTTGGATGCAAAATATTTGAATTATAAAAACCTGAAAAACTGAGGTAAAATATCTCTTTGTATCTAGCATTCAGATATATTCTATTCCCAATGTTTTGTAACTCTCGATCTCCAAGTGTTGTAATTATGATTTCTAGTTTCCTTCACTATAAGCACACACTGTAAAAAAATAATAGTCGAAATAACTCAATAAAATTGAGGAAAAGAATTGCCTTATTTTTATTAAGTAACTATAACTTACGGCATCTTAAGTAGAATTTACTTATTTTGCTGAATAAATTTTTACTCAGTTAAATCGAGTTACATTAACGTAAATAATTAAAGTATTGTAATCATTTTAGATAATTTAAAAAAAGCTATGATAGGATTAAATATTGCACGATTTGGTACCCACTACTAACACTACTTCTATTTAAGATTTAACCGTATATATATATCTACCACCATCACAAACTATTACATACGCTTCAATTCGACACATATTGAAAGGCTCCAAATTTTATATATACTTGATCGTAGCATCCTAAAAGGAAAATTGGTTGACAATTTCCTGAAATATCAAGTTTTGATTTGTTTTGAACTGGGTAACAATTAAAAATTGTCTTGTCTTTGCTTAGCCATGTTAAATGAATTAGTAAATGTTTTAAAGTCCTTAACTTTTCATTCAACCACAAAAAAGAATTGTTTTATTTAAAAAAGAGTTTAATTTGGTCTCAATGAATATTCATAAATTATGTAAATATTTCTATTACGCACTGCATCGGTCCTTACTTTAAAAAGATAAGAATAATCAACATAAATTGTTTGAGTAATACGTATAATTTCTGATTTTGAGTTAACATTACTAAATTAATACAAGCTGAAATTACTTAAAGTTCTTATGTATTTGATTTTACTTAAATATTCCACGTATGTTCTACTAAATTGAAAGTTTGAGTTAGCAAGACTTAAATTTAGTGCGTAAGTGGCAAAACTAATGTTTTCAAGTAAATTCTACATGGAAAAAATACGTAAAAATTACCAATGAACAAATTCTTTTTTACAGTGCATTATCACGTAGCTCTTTGTGGAATTAAAGTTGGTTACCCACCGATTTTCTTTTGGTAATACATGAATAAATACACAGAATGATCTGAACAAACGTCTCGTTTTGTATGGCTCATTGTGAATTATTATGAAATAAAGAGAGAGAGAGAGAGAGAGAGAGAGAAAGAGAGAGAAAGAGAGAGAGAGAGAGAGAGAGAGGTTGTCTGTTTGCATTTGTGGTTGGGCATGTTTGCCTGTGAGCACGTTGGTGGGTTGGGGTGATGATGATGACGACGGTGATGACGATGATGATGCTGATAATGGTTATCATAATTATGCTGAAAGAAAGGGAAGAAGAAAACATGATGAAAGGAGAAACAGAAGAATAAGAAAAGGAGATATTGTGCAATGACCTGGGGGTGTTTCTCAAAGACGAAGATCGACTTCAAGTTGGACTTAACTATGGCAGGCCATTAATGCCACTGATTGCTCTCACTATTATGATTTTTAGATAATATTTTTTCCTTCAATAATGAATTATCAAATATGTGAATTCTGAAGATTTGTGACCATGATTTTATTTGCACGTCTCTTGAGAGACCGATGCCAGTAAATGTCGAGAGCAAACAGTGGCATAAATGGCCTGCCATAGTAAAGTCCAACTTAATTTGATCTTAGTCTTTGGGAAACACCCCCTCTCCCCCGTATATTATGATCACAGGCCGTACCTAATTAGGGAGGTGATAGAGAATGAGTGGAATCAAGCCGCTCTAATGTGACCCTATGCTCCAAGCCGCCGAAAAGTTATGCGCTAATCTGCAACTGTTGACCAGGTGGTGAGATAAAAGAGCGCATGAAATATCAGGATTTAGAATTCCCACATCAGAAAATGGTATTTCAGCAAATGTTCGTTGTCCCTTTCAATTATTTCCCATCAATTGTTGAATGTGTAATGACTTAAACAAGCGAACACAAACTTTTGTAATTTCATCCTTTTTTTAACTGCAAAAATACAAGAAGCACGCGAAAGTACGCATTAGCAAACTTAAAGCCCCACTGCACTATTTATAGCTACTTGCGCTCTCTATATAGCAAGCAATGCCTTATCGGTGACCATTAGTCCCCATTGTCCCCCTTTTCTTTTGTTAATTGAGAGCTGATTTCATGAGATAACCACCTGTCAGTGACCATGATGCAGGGAGGTTTAATCTCTTCTGGCCAAACTTGTGCAGATAGGCATTAAAAGTTATCGAAGATTGTAAATCATGGATCAAATGACAGGACATTAAAACATGCGAACATGTCAGGATCTATTTGAAAAATTGTTTGGTGCACTGTTCCCAATACAATCCCCATATAAAGTTTATAATTTACACTGAAATTTTGCCGGTAATTTAATAAATGTGAAATTGGTGCCTGGCCTTCGAAATTCCCCGCAGTGGAAGAGCGGCTCGGAGCATGGAACTCAAAGCCAAGTGGAATTTTACGCATCCCAGTGTTACGATTTGGAACTCACGCATGAGTTTGAATAAATTACAAGAGTTTCCACTCCTTCTCTATCACCTGCCTGACCTAAACCACTGAACTCTAACACTACATGTTAGAGTTCAGTGACCTAGCCCCTTCGACTCAGTAGAGTAATCGTGTGATAAACACACTGACAACGAACAGGCGAGTCTATTATAATCTCGAGGGTTACTCATTATGTGTTTTGAGCATGAACTTTCACGTATTCAGTTGTTTTTGCTTGTTATTGAGGGCTTACTAGAGGAGGAGGAGGCTTGGGGCTGCAGCTCCCGCCCCCTAAAAATGTGAAAACAGAATAACAAAATAAGGGTTTAGAGAAAAATAAGGAGAGAGAGAGAGAGAGAGATAGTGGAGTTTTGAGGGAAAAGGGGAGAGAGAGGAAACAGTGAGAGTGTGTGTGTGAGTTAAACTCAACTATGTCCACAAACTTTCGTTTTGAAT